TCCAATGCTTCACCACTCCCTGTAGAAATTCTTCCTAATCCTTGGACCTCCCCTGACACAACCTGAAGCCATTTTCTCTTGTCCTGTCGGTAGTTATTCTGGAGAACAGATCAACCCCTGCCTCACTACAGCCTCCTTTCATGAATTGTTGTATGTTTTACATACAGATTATAGTTCCACAGAAGTGTCAATCAGGCTTAACTCTGTGCGCTTGAGTGTAACAGAAGAAGTGGTGTTAGATCTGAGAAATTCCTTCTGCAACAGCAAACCAAACTCTTATCAGTGATTTTTTTCCCCAAATATTACAAACCTAAGGAAAGATGACGTCCAAATTAGGCCAGATCTGGAAATAATTGTAATCTAAAACTTATAGGAAAAGACTTTCTGGTAATTAATCTGCAACCATAATTTTTGTGTTTGTGCAGAAGCAGAATAGTATTTCTCGATGATCAGATCTTTCCATTTAGAAAGCCCATTTCCAGAGATCCTAAGAGAACTGCCCAGTTAAAACAACATTCTGAAAAGGGCCGACTCTAGAAATGAGTCCTTTGCTCTGAATCAGTAATATTTATACTTCAGACTGAAAAGGCTCAAATTCCTGTCCGGCTAGGCACTCGAAAAATCATTTCAGTAAACATTTTTCTATTTAATAGCACAAGTACTCATTAAAAATATTGCTTCTCTTATTACAGTTGATGAGGTTAATGTGACTAGAAAGAACGAGAAATTTTGCTTCCAACAACACAGTAAATACCCAATGGAAAAAAATAGGTCAGATACATTCAAAGTTCCACTAAGATAAGAGAGAAAAATAAATAGATATTATTATGTGGATATGGGTAGTTATCAGAAAAACAGATCTTAATGGTTGTATTATTTCAGCTATTTGACTACCTCCAATCAAATATAGCTGAGTATATAGCTCTTTCTTTCTGATGTCATATTCTTTCCCCCAAACAAATGAGTTGGTTGTTGTTTCACGTTGTACCATTTTGTTTGACTGTGCCTGTATGTTATCAGTCAGTGTTTCAAATCATAAACATGAAGCATAATACAGTGCCATATATCCTGATAAGGAAAAGCACTTTAGAACCAAGGACGTGCAGCTTTACATATACTGATTCACATAGTGCTCCTGTGAACCAGTCTTGTAAAGGTCAGG